AATCCCATTCTGTGCATTCAGCCTCTCTTCTCACCCGCTCAGCATCAAACACATGGAGTTCCTCATCTGTATGCTCCGGCTCAAACAGGTATGGCTCTGGGTCTGTGTCCGCTACAAGAAACTCTTCAAAATCGCGTTCAAAGTCGTCCATTGCAGCTGCTATAGTCCGGAGATATTGCTAGGCTAAATAAACAGCTGAGCACTGTTTACAGGCTACGCTGTCAGTCAGTGTGCGGGCTGGAGATTGGCGGAGCAGAGAGGGGAGGGGGGTCCCCACTTAGTATTGTAAACGAGTATGTGTGTAAAGTTATGAAGTGTGTCTGTTACGCTAGAAGATTCAGAGTTTGGGACGGAGTGGAGTGTTACCAGAGTTTCTGGAGTGCTCAAATAAACGGGCCTTTTTCCCGAACGCTCCTCTGGTCTCCTGCTCGTGAGGGATTCATTACAATATCGTAACATGGTTTAGATTTCTAAATAAACATTCACCTCGTTGCTAGATAGACCTACTCCTGAAAAAGTTGTGCGCAAGGCTTTTTGTCCCTACGAGGCCACCATCATTTACCCAACGGGAGGGGTGAGCGAGTGAGCCCTGCAATCTAGAATTTGACCACTGATGTCACTGTTTCCAACGGTTTTCAATCCATTTTACACAGTGGCCCTTTAAGTCGTGATTAACCCCTCTATGAAATTTGATCATGAGTTAATGAAGAACTGACCATTAACTAATAGTTGGCTCATCATTAGTTCCTCAGTAACTACTCCTCTGAAATTTGATCATGAGTTACTGAGGAACTGACCATTAACTAATAGTTAGTTCCTCATTAGTTCCTCAGTAACTACTCTAATTTTGTGTACCTTAGTTCCTCAGTAACTACTCAATAGTTCATCATTAGTTCCTCAGTAACTACTCCTCTGAAATTTGATCATGAGTTACTGAGGAACTGACCATTAACTAATAGTTAGTTCCTCATTCGTTCCTCATTCGTTCCTCAGTAACTACTCTAATTTTGTGTACCTTATTGTAAAGTGCTACCGCTAGTTGCAAAACAGAGCAAATCCCCATAGACTCCCATGTTAAAATGCCCAACTTTACAGCTAAAATAAACAGGTTTACAGCCTGGTGCAAAAAACAGTTTGGGTCTCTATGGCTTATTTCATCATTCATGACAACTGCACAGGGGTGGATTTTTTGTTATAACGATCCAGTTTAAATGTTATTAAGGCTTAAAGTTCTACATTATTTTTTACAGTCTACGTTTCTCACCCTGCCATTCACTCCTTGCACGCATGCTCACTCTCTATCTCTAGGTGTCATTGTGTGGGTCTGTCAACTGAGACATGAGCTGTTTTTGAGTTGATTCACAATCAACCAATAGCACATTAACACACCTTCTCTGTCAGCCTATCATCTAACTGCTCCTCATTTTAAATATGGTTCTTTCTCTGCTGTAGTTCTTCCTTGCTGTAGTCGCGGGTGCCCTCCACCTCCCCATCACCATAGTCTTCATGGATTCATCAGTCTCATAAGTCTCAGCAGTCAGCAGCCTCTGAGTCATCAGCCACCACCAGCACCAGTGTCTGGACTCCATGGGGGGATTTATCCTGCTGCTGCTCAGATGTCCCTCAATCACAAAATATCTCCCTCTGGTGTCCAAGTGCCAAAGACTTCTGTTAAATCTTAATCAGCACAAATCATCTGTTAATCTGTACACTCATATTCTGTATTAAATATTATCTTTTCTTAAGTTTTCTGTCTCTCCTGATTGAAATGCCACTCAGAGTGATGTCATTCACAGATGGGCTCCGTCATCACAGATACTGATTCAAGATGCTGAATAAGCCAAAAAAAAGGGGAAAAAATAGACAAGGGGCAACGTTGCGGGACACACCACACTGACTACCGCGACGGATGCTCACAAACGGCCAACTGTTCGCTTGGTGCGTCAAGCTTAAGATTATCTGCACAGGTCTCTTCTTCAAAACAAATGGACCTGGTGATTTAAACTGGTCAAAACACTGAATAAATAAGTTTAATGATTTAAAAAACCTTTTTTTTCTGACACTGCTTGTTGCAGCGGGCTGCTTATGGTGACCAAGGCAAAAACGCAAAATGCCCTATGTAGAGCCAAAGCTTAGTTTGTCTGTTCTAGGCTACTGTAGAAACATGAAGGTGCAGCATGGCGATATCAATAAAGGAGGACCTGCTCTCTGTTGTATGTAGATTTAAAAGGCTTAATCTTGGGGTAATGTTTTCATTTCACAATGATACCCTTTTTTCCAGGTGTATATACACAAAAGAAAACATACTTATAATGTAACCATTTCTGCTAATGCGTCCCCTTAAATCCTACACACTGGACCTTTAATGTGTGCACGCAACACACCATTAACAGTGAGCTCCAAGGCAGAGAAGTGCCCACTTAAAAAACTGAAAGGACTCGTGTAAAAGAACATTAACGTATTTTGATGTTCCACTGGGTGTTAACCATTGTGTAAAGCGATGCTATGTGTATGTGTGTGTGTGTGTGTGTGTGTGTGTGTGTGTGTGTGTGTGTGTGTGCGTGCGTGCGCGCGCGGGCGTGTCAGAGAGAGAGAGGGGAGGACTTGCTTTGCTACATTGGTCCCAGCAGTGGCAGCTGTTGGGAAGTCACCATTATAGGCACATTTCCTCTCTGCCCTTTCACTGATAATATTTCTCCACACTGAGACTGCATCATTAGCACTGAAGACACAATCTTAACTGCAGCCTCCAACACAATCTGATGTACTGTGAGGGGTCTCCAGCTGTTGCCAAACATTATTTCTTTGCGCTCCTCTCTGTGTCTCAGTGAGAGAGGAGGGAGGAAAGGAGCAAGTGATGCACACACACACAGTGAGACAACGCCAGAGTTATCGGTGTCAAGGATGGCTACATACAAAACCAAATTCAAAAACTGCCTCTCAAGGAGTGTACTTGAAATTAAATGATTTTCGATTTGTTGGTCCTTCGCGTTATTTTTGGTTTCCAAGGTGAAACATGAACTCCACTCAGTGAATGGCTGTGCGTCATCGCAGCAGATCCAATAGGGAGCACGCCTCCTGTCGTGCCGAATATAAAAGCTGCTCTCCTCTGACTTTCTGCGGCTGAATCCGTTTTACTCCTAGAAGTGAAAATCAACAAATGCCCACTCAGTTTTAACAACCATACTTTGTGTTTCCATGTTTTCACATATAGAGGCGTAATGAATTTAAACTTTACGCTCCCAGGGCACAACTTTGCCGGCTTTGGTGCGCTGGCGCAGAGACTTTTTGGGAATAACTCACTGTTTCCATTTGAAAACGCCACCGCCGCTTCTAAGACGGAGGAGGAAGACTTGGAAGTTAACACGGACGTTTACTCCAGGGTGGTCGTCACTGTCATCTACGCTGCTCTGTTCGCTGTGGGCTCTTTGGGAAACTCCATCACCCTGTACACCCTGCTGACCAAAAAGACCCTGCAGAACCTCCAGAGCACCGTGCACTACCACCTGGCCAGCCTCGCCGTCTCCGACCTGCTGATCCTCGTCCTCTCCATGCCCATCGAGCTCTACAACTTCATCTGGTTCCACCACCCATGGGTGTTCGGGGACGCCGTGTGCAGGGGTTACTACTTCCTCCGGGACAGCTGCTCCTACGCCACAGCGCTCAACATCGCCAGCCTGAGCGTGGAGCGCTACATGGCCATCTGCCACCCGTTCAAAGCCAAGAGCATCATGTCTCGCAGCCGCACCAAGAAGCTCATCAGTGCCATGTGGATCGCGTCCTTCGCGCTCGCTGCGCCGATGCTCTTCGTTATGGGCCAAGAGTCGCGTCAAGGCGAGAAGATATGCACCGCTATCGTCTCTCCCGTCACCATCAAGACCGTGCTTCAGGTGGGTGTCGGAGAGCTGTCTTGTCGCTGGTTTGTATGTTGGTTTTGCGCGCAGATGTATCCACAGTTACGCTTTACACACCGGGATAAATTTAAGGGGGGATATAAATATCTCTCTGTTGTCCCCAGCCACATTTAGAACATGAGGTGTTCCTTGTTACTTGCTTTACAGTGTACATACATGTGTTCCACAGCGCATGGTTTTACGCCCGAATGTGTCTCAAAACTCCACTTTGTGCGCACTGATATCTTTTCATTTTCTCTGGAAATTACAAAAAGAAACGATGGCATAGCATACGCAGGAAATCATCTGTTTTAAGATACTTCATGCTTTAATTCAGTTTATCAAAAATAATCTGGCCACACAATTGCCAGTTATTCCAACAATTTCTGCTAGGAAATTAACAAATTAATGTTGACTCTCGCCAACAGAAACAATATGATGCTTATTTCTGCAAAATGAATCAAACGTTATGCTGGACATATAGGGAAATTATCAGGCCACCAGTTCTTAATATCTGAAAAATAAATATATTTATTTGTTGCCAGCATACACAGCTACTAGTAATCAAAGATAAAGCTGCATGAAGGGTGCTACAGGTGTGTCTGTCCTGTTGGCTCAGATCCTGGTGGTGCATTTTCTGTGTTGTGCATGTAGAGCTGAAATGATTGGTGATTAATGCATTAAATGATTGATACGGATCAACCATCAAGACGTTTTTCAAGCAAAAAAGACCCGCTTCTCAATTGTGGGAACGTGTTTCTTTCTTTTTCCTTACAATATGCGTGGGGCTGTTGGTTAGCCTCTCATGATGATGATAAACTATTGAAAACCCCAGAGGATCATTCACAGCAGTTAGCGCTGTTCTAGAGGTATTTCTGGAATCCTAAAAAAAAAAAAAATAAAAAAAAATAAAAAATAAAAAAATCCAATTTTCTGTTAAGCAGAATCAAACCTCTTTAAAATGTCTTGGATCGGTAAATATGATTTTATATGTGCTTGATTATATTTTATTAATTACTGTATTGCATTTATCTGGTTTCAGTTTTTACTGTGCCATCTTGTTACTGTGCGTCATGGGTTTCTCAGAACATTCTGTACCTTTATTCAGAAATGTGCTGTACAAATTAAGTTATTAGCCTGTTGTTATTTTTAAAAAAATAAAGCAAGGACTTATGTTATCATAGAGAAAAAAAAACAGTTGCATTTGTTGCAATTTGAGAAACGGGTTCAAAAAATGTTTTTATTGTGTAGCAAACTATATGATTTTTTTTTCAGTTTTTGGTGAGAGAAGTCTACGAGGATTTTGAGAATCCCTTCAGGAAAGTGTTTTTTGAAAGCAGGTATTTATGTTTTTGAAATCTGGATGTTTTAAAGTTGTAGTTGGTAACTTTTATAAGAAACAACTTTTGTCATTTTGTCATGCAGAAACTGCTACTATATTCACTTAGAAGTTTAGGAGACAGATAATCTGTTAAGAAAAAAAACCAAACATTAATTAGGGGTGTGGGAAAAATTGATACACTATAGTATCGCAATATTTTTGTTTGACAATATCCTATCATCACACAGTGTCAAGTATCGATTTTTTTTATTATATAACCTATTCATTTTACAAATACAAATTGAACTGTAGGTAGCCTACTAGAATCATATAATCATTCATACATTTTAATGCTGCCAAAAATGGCTGAAGTGAGATGAAAAGACTGAAAACTTTATCTTAATAGATTAAATAGATGTTGACAAAGTTTTCCTTTGAGCACATAATTTACAGTTGGAAAAAGGAAATAAATTGCAATATATTTTACTGCAATACTCAGCATATCACAACATATTTAAAATTGCAATAGTATTGTTTCGTGACCTAAGTATCATGATAATATCGTATTATGGATCCTCTGATGATTCCCACCCCTAAAAGTCCATTCTCACCAAGGGCAAATATCCGCATGGATTATTAAAAATATTAAAAATATAAACGATGATTTCATGGGTTCTTATGGAAGTTTGCACACTGGGGCGGAACTTTCGTGCAGTGAAAAAAGTTTGCGCCCAGACTTTTACCCCCCCGCGGAATTTGCCGGTGTTTATAGTCGTGCAGACCTGGGAGAGTCCGAAATCCAGTCGGGCAGGACAGTATGGGAGAAGGGTTGATAAACCTCGTTTCACAGCACCCCGTCCTTTTTGATTAAAGATGCAATGATTTTATGAACAATGAATTAAAGGACAACGTCTGGCAGTCCACTGACCAGCTTGGCGGCTACGGTGAGAGCGGTAAGTGCTAAAGAAAGTTGATGTTGATGCTTGTTAAACGTTAGCTTGCTAGCTTGCTGCTGCTGCTACTCTCGTCCATGTTCACCCACACCCGTTCACACTGCGCGGAATTGGAACAAAACAACAAATTCCGCACCGCGTCCTTACAGCGCCTGTATGTATGGTTTGAACGTGGAAAAGCGCTGCGCAAATATTCCGCAAATCCGTCCCACAGTGAGAATGAACCTTAAAGGCGCTGTATGTAAGAATGTGGCCAAAACGGTTACTGCACTCAAATTCAAAATACTGCCGCGAGTCGTGTCCAACCCCCCTCCCCTACAGATTTGAGGTTGCTGTTCTGTGCTGAATTGCTGCGTTGTGCTCCGGCGTCCGGCAAAAATAGAAGTCCTGCGTATCTGTTGCGGAGGGCTCCGGAGTGGAGCGGGGCTTTGAGTTTGAATGATGCTGTGCTTTGGCCAATCACAATGGAGGGGGCGTGGCCAAGATGTGCAGGTGTCCCAAGGAAATGTGTACCTACAGAAACAGCAAGCTCCGCGTTCATAACGACAACTCCACCCAAAATGCCGCCTCGTCAACGTGAAAAAAAAAAAAAAATTCTAGCGGATGCCTTAGTTACAACATGATTGAGCTAACTGGAGTAGTTTCATGTTGTATCCGACAACGGGAGGCTTTTAACAGATGACGTCCTGATGTTAGCTTTGCTAACCGTCCCTGTCAGCTGCAGCCACTGATGCTTTCTAGACATCGTGATTTCCCATAACTGAATAAATACCACACATAGCAACACAAAAATGCTTTGCTAGCTCAATCATGTTGTAACTAAGATATCCGCTGGAAAAAATATTTTATTCACAAACTGTTTATTGAGTCATTACCTTATTTTTATACAGTCTATGGTTATTACAGACACCGCTAACAGCTAACGTTAACAGCTAACGGTTAGGCCAGCTAATATACGATAACCATGTTATTAATTAGCCTACAAAACGCGCACACAGAAATAGTAACATTTGTTCAATCATTGTGTTTATAGACTTAAACATCAGATTAGTCTACACGGTGATAAAGTGACGTGAAAAATGTGATATATAGCTAAACTCTGCTGGTTTTCTATCTGAAGTATTTGTAAACAACACGGCGATTCCCTGGGTTTGGGTTTAGTCGCACCGTCAGCCATTGTAGCTCAGTCGTAACTGTAACTGATGCTGAGACTCTACTGATTGCGTGACTGGTAGACGGCAGTGGGTGGCGCAACAGGCCAAAACACAAATTCAAAACATAAACATGATTTGCAGACCGTAAACATTTTTTTATGCGAATGCGAATATTCTGGCTGTACTATTGTTGTCGGTGAGATCAGTATGTTATATGAACATTATTCCTTAGTCTCTGTGACATATTAGGAGGATTTTACGACTATTTGCTTTAGATTTCTTACATAAAGCTCCTTTAATACTTATGTCTACTCTATTGCCTTGTAGCACTACTAATGGCCATACTCTATGAGAATGAAAACAACCAATCAAAGCATAGGAGTCTCTAACACAGCTGTCAATCACTGCTTGTGAACTGCGGTCGAACTGTCTAACTAGGCATCGCTGATTTAATATCAAGACTCTGTAACTACATTGCCTTTTTCTCGTCCCAGCATTTCTAGAAGCATATTTTAGTGTACTGTTTAGCTATGAAATGAGAATTGAGAATTTGTTGCTGATGTTGCTAATTTCTCGCTGATTTCACCCTATATTCCTGCTGGAACATGTCCAGTCGTGCTTAGAAGATTTAACTGGTGATTTTCCATGGGAGAAGATGTGGCTATACACAGTCATTCCCCAGTTGCAAATACACTGCTACATGTAGCTACATGCTAACTTCAGCAAAATGTAATCTTGGTTGCCAATGCTGTTAATATATCCCTGATTTCAGATTATATTCCTGCGGGAACATGTCCAGTTGTGTATAGAAGCTTTTATTGGTGATTTTCAACAGGAAAAAGAGCCACTATGAACAGTCACTCCGTGGCTGCAAGTACACTTCTACATGTAGCTACATGCTAATGTCAAGGAAATGTAATTTTGGTTGTAGATATTGTTAATTTTTGCTTTATTTTTGCTGGAGCATTTTCCCACTGGAACAAGTCTAGTTGTGTTTGAACTAGTGATTTTAAAAATGCTTGGTAGAATGTAGAAAGTGGTGCTATTCTCTGTTACAGTCATTCCTCAGCCTCAGTAATGACACAGAGACACTGAGATGCTGAAGACCTGGACCTGGGGGCGTAAAGAGACAGGCGCTTAAATGGAGCTTTCTCAGACAGAGGGTGAATACAGGTGTTCCAGCACAGACAGTATGAGGAAAACAAAGTGTCTTCTGAACATTAGATTCAAGTTCAAGTATGAATCTGAAAGGAGCATTAAAGGTTCTCTTTATTGTAAAGAGGCTGTGAGTTATAAGCTAGTGTGTGTGAAAGAACCAAAGAGAGAGAGAGGGAGAGACGCACACACATCTTTATACTCAGAGCACAGCAGCCCCCTCTAAACAAAAAAGGTCATTTCTCAAGTCTGTCCCCACTGCTCCCTAAGACAAATGGTTGTGTCTTGCAGGTTGTAGGTCATATAAATGATGAGGCCAATCTGCCTTACTTTGTTTACAGTGAGCATATTTGGTATTCACTCAGAAGCTCAAGTGTGATTTGGGTTGTGAGAGAATTGGAAATGATTAGGTGA